TGTCCGAAGGAAGGAGGGGCAGGCCTCTCCACAGCGAAGGAGCTGGAGCTACCCAGGCCACTCCTGGTAGATTATCCTGAGCAAGTCATCTCTCTATCTAACTGTGACCCTCCTGCTGCAGCCAAACCTTGTTTGTTTGTTTGTTTGTTTTCCTTACTAGGCTCAGAAACTAAACAAATGAAAAACAAAAGTACCTTTAGCTTTTTTCTACCCCGACTTTTTCACCATCATTGTCCTTCCTGAATCCTGGCCAAGCGGTAACACATGCTGTTCTGGCTGTTCAATTTCCATAGCGTAGCTGACTCGCCCCTGCCTCTGGACCCTCCTTACCACCCCCTGCCAAGCGGATCTGCATACAGACGTCTCAGGGTGTGGGCCCCCTGCTAGGGACCTCTGCAGTCCCCTCTCTTGGCACTGTAGGTAAATGGCTTGCTGAGCAATTAGAGTATTTTCTATAGTGCTGAAGAAGATCCCAGTTTTGGAGTTTAAATACTGGAGTAAAGTGAGTCTCCCTTCTCCTGTCTTGGCAGCTCATCTCACCCATTCCTTAGAATAGCAAGTGCCACTTTGTGTCTAAGGTAAATTCTGGGTGAGGCTGCCTTGTTTGAGGCATAGAGGGACAGGATACCTCGTCAGCAGCACACACTGCCCAATGCAGAAATAGGCAGCACAGGTCCAGAAGGGATCTGTGTTGGCCCATCAATGCTGAGTGTGCGTGGGTGAGTGAGAGACCCAAGCGTGAGCTCTGCCTCACACTGCGAGCCTGGGAAATTCAGTGAGAGGCAGAGAGGGCTTGGCATTTACTCTGAAGCTCACATCTCCCCAGTTGTCAGTCAGCAGAGATGTTGCATGTTGATTTCACATATTCACTTCTCTTCCTCCCCTCTGGGAATTCTGTACTTGCTTCCCTTTTTTTGTTATGAAAGAAAGAAAAGGCAGCTCTGTCTTGTACACATGCTCAGAGATCGTCAAGGGCAGTCCATACCTTCCAGCTCCCCTGACATGTGAGTGGTTGAGGGTCAGGAGGAGGCAGGAGAGTGGTGTCTCAGCTTACCTTTTCTCTCTGGTGGCTCCTTCTGTACCCAAATCTAAGAAATTGAGGTAAACCGTAGCATCTGGTATTCTGGCCTCTCCTCCAGCCTGCTGCCAGGCCCGGCTTCCTAGGCACCAACTTTGTCGTGTGCCCCCACTGCTTGGGAAGCTCCCGGCTGAAGTCCAGACTCTTCATGTGTCATGCAGTGGCTTGCACAGTCGCTCACTTTGAGTCCCAGACACATTCTCCTGCTTTAGTTAGGCCTGAGTCCTGATTGCCCCGGAATGGACCATACCCACTCCTTCCTAGATAATGCCCTCCCTCTTCCACACCCTCTCCAGAGAGCCCTTCTGCAAGGGGAGGACCCAAGGGACAGCTCATGGCACATGCTTGCTGTCTCACCCTGCTTTGGGCTTCTGTAGGTACTTGGCCTGGGGATAAAAGCTGGTCTCTTTGGCTAGCTTATGAGCTCCTTAAGGCCTACAGCCATGTCTCACACATCTTTTTTTGTATCTTCCAGGGTCCTTGCTTAGTGTCCTGCCCATGATGAGCAATCTATTACGAATGCATCGTTTGTTCGTGGTGGGAGGGAGGACAGATGCTAAACCTGCCTTCCTGTGGCTCCTCTCCCAGCTTTGTCCAAGCTGTCTCCTTTCCTGGACTAGCTTCCTGGCTTGCAGACTACATTCTCCCTGCACCCCTTCCTTCTTCCAACCCTCTACAAGATAACTGAGGGCCATCTCCTTGGGGACTCAGATGATCATCAGTCCAGTGGCACCTCCTTGACCACACTGCTCCCGTTTGCCCCATACTCAGGGTCCTTTTATCCAATGAGCTTTCATTAGGACGTGCAATTTCAGGTTCCTTGTATGCTTTTAGAGTCTGTCTGTTAGACTGGAAGATTCCCAAGTGCAGGAACTAGGTTTAGAGCCCAAAAGAGTAAAGAATGTAAGCTTTAAAATCACAGTTTCTTTATCTGTGAAATGGGCTAATAACCATAGCTATCTCATAGGGTTGTCATGAAGATTCAGTGAGTTACTGCGTGTAAAGCCTGGTGCCAGCGGTATAATGAGGATTTATAATAAATCTGAGTTGCTCTTATTATTCTGATAATAACTAAACTGGGGGCCCTGATGGGACCTCACTGAAACTTTGTTAATGGACTGAAGAGTGGGACTTGAGTGCCCTTGTGACAAGTGTGACCAGGAGGGAGCAGAACTGTTGTATTGGGCAGCCTCATCGCTGACCTTCACTCTCTGCCCCCCGCCCCCTTCCCCAGGGCCTCAGTTGCTGAGGAAATAGTTACTGGCACGAATCTATTTATAAGCAGAAATGAAAGTGGAACGACAATGGGGAGGTTATTCTCACTGAACGAGGTGTGAGTTGGGGAGAAGGATAAAAAGAAAGTAGAAGGGGCCGCCTAAGAGGGCACTTGCTGACACCAAGTCCCCATCTGAGGCTAGTAATAACAGCCCCTTATATTTGTTCAGCACAACAGTTCCTTGGACTGTTCTCACATGTGCCAGATCACTTTATTCTCAGGACACCTCTGGGGGTCGGCTTTATTAATCCCCATTTTAAAGAGGAGGAAATAGGAGCTCAGGGAGGCAAACTACCTTGCCCTTGATCACACAGCTACAAACTGAGCTAAGAGTGAAGAACAGGTCTCCTGACACCTAGTCCAGCTGGTAAATGACCTCTCCTGCATCAAAGAAACAATGTTGCAAGAATGAAGTGGCAGCGTGAGCCCTCAGGAGCCTGTGATAGAGACTGCAGAGGACAAGAGGTGTTTAGCCATTGCAGTCAGAGTCTGTGGGCTCCGAGAGGAGCCAGCCAGACATCTGCCCCCACCTGTAGATGACACCCACAGGACCTTGTGCCCAACCAGGAGACAGCAAGATGCTGTGGTTGTGACGTAGACTTGGTTTCATTGCTGGGCTGCCCTCTGTGTGGGGACCTGGCTCAGAATAGTAACAGCACCACAGGCCCCTGGGAAGAAGCTGAGCTGCCCGCAGAGCCCGAGTGATTGCACCCCTAGGAGGTAGGCCTGCCTGGGAGCCTGCGCAGGGCCACCACAGGGCCACTGCAGCAGTCCTGTGATGAGGGTTTGAGGTCCCTCTGGTGTGAGTATATGTCCCCCTCCCCTTGGCCATAGCCAGTTGTAGTAGCTCTGTTCCAGCATGGCCTTGGTGATGAATGTCCTTCCCTCTCTGATTCCATTGTGTGTGTCTGAAGGGCAGGGGGCAGCATCTCTTACATCTGTTTCCTCAGTGGCCTGGCCCTTGTGAAGCAGGTGTGGGATAGGTGTCTGACGGCATCTGGGGAGGCCATTTCACCCTCACACCGCACGGAAGGCATGAGTTCTCTATCCAGCCATCCCTGTGTAGCGCCCCCCACAGACCAAGCCCGGTGTTAAGTGATGGGGATACAGAGCTTAGTAGGACTTGGCCCCTACTCTCGGGTGCTCTTAGCACTGTCTTGGTGGTGGCATACAAGTGAGGTGGGCTCCTCACCCAAGTTTCTAGTCTTTGCCAACTGTGGTAGCCCAGGTCGGCAGGGCAGACTTCTGCACAAGCCCAGGGAACGCTGCCCCAGGCGCAGTGTTTTTATGGTGGGATGAAGCCTCCTTCTGGATGTTCCCAAGCCCCTAGCAAGAGCCTTCTTCCCGCTGTTTCCCTGACCAACCCCTTTCGTGTACTCCTTATAGGAGAGGACGCAGCCTGTGTCCAACAGCACTCCTACATCACTCTTGGCATAGAGAGGACACCACCTCGGCCACATACTTTTCTCAGCCCGGCAACAGTCCCAACCCGCGTGGCGTTCCACCTGGGAACGCGGGCGGGCGAGGGGGACTCGCGCAGCTGCAGGGGCTTCGCAGAGACGTGCGCGCGCGTGCACGCGGAGGGGGCGGGGAGAGCGGCGCGCGCCCCGCGGAGGCCCCATGCGTCTTTCCCACATCTCACGCCGCTCCTGCAGTCCCTTCTTGGTGCGTCGTAGACAGATTCACGAGTGCAAAACCATGAAAGAGAGAAAACCATGAGAGAGAGAGAGAGAGAGAGAGAGAGAGACAGACAGACAGACAGACAGACAGACAGACAGACAGACAGACAGACAGAGTAGCTGGGAGACCGTGCGCCCTGGGTCAGAGAGGCCCCTGTGTGCAAAGGGGGCGGCGGCCAGGGCGACAGTGGCCACGCTTCTTTCCCCTTTCAGTCCTCCCCAGCCCTTTCCTTCTTTCCTCCGGTTTCCTTGGGTGGTTAGTACCTCCAGCCATTCCCCTCCTCTGCCACCCTCTTTTCTCGGGTAGACGAGGCCAGTGCCTTTCCATGGAGGTTCTAGTTCACCCCCAGCAGGAGCCCTTGACATTTAGCGAGAGTTCGCAGCACCGGTGTAGGCACACAGCAGAACGCTAATCCTATTAAAGATATGGTGTCATTGGGGAGGGGGAGGCTGCCCCCCTTCGCTGGCAGGCCTCGCGCTCATTGGTTGAATGCAAAGCAGGGGGCGGGGCCAAGGGCCCGGCCAGGGGGCTCCGTGCGATTTCGGAGTCGGGAGTCTGGGCTGGGATTTCACAGGGAAAGCCCAGCGGTGGCAGCTGCGGCGGATCCCCCGCCACTGCCCGCCGCGCACCCGGCCAGCCCAGGGCTGGCGAGCAGCTCCGCAAAGTCGAGGAGAGAAAGGAGGCGGAAAGCCCTCAAAGTGGTCGGGCTCAGCGCCGCTGCTGGGCTGGGCGAGGTGTGCTCAGGGAGCCTGGATCCCGGGGCCCTGGTGCCTCTCATGAAACAGCCAGTGTACCGGGAGGCAAGCTAAAGCTCTGGAAAGAGAAATCAAATTGCAGCCTCCCCAAAGACGCTAAGTTACGCAGGCCAGTTCCCAGAGAGCGCCCGCGAGCGCGCTGAGAGCTGAGCCGCAGAGCCCTCCCCGGGCTAGCCGGCCGGGAGCCGGGCGCCTTCCGAGAGGCGGAGGCCCCTGTGCACGCGGTCCGACCCAGAGTGCGCCCCGGTACAGAGAGGGGGCGTGCAAGGCTACGACTTGGGCGCCCCCTCCGTCCCACTCCGGGAGCGATGCCCCCCGCCCCTCGCGCCCCCCGGGAACGCCGCGAGCATGGAGAAGTCGAGTAGCGAGGATTCTTCGATCCACCGGAGTCCATCTTTGGACAGCAAGGACTCGGACTTTACCAAACCGTCCACCTCGGGCCGCCCGTTCGGCCGCGGTTTCACTGCCGGCGCCTTCTACGGCACCGCGGGCTCCCGGGGCCAGAGCCGCGCCGAGGCTGGCGTCAAGACTGACAAGTACAATGCTCCCAAAGGCAGCAAGTACGTGGTGTTTTACCTGGACCTGTCCTTTGTTTTCCTCCTAGAATTTAAGAAGTGCAACATGGCCAGGGGCTGCCTCTGCTGCTTGAAGTACATGATGTTCCTCTTCAATTTGATATTCTGGGTAAGTCCTTGGGCTGATCCCTCCCTTTGCCTCCTCTCCTCTTCTTTGCCTACCATAGCGTGATACCTTCTTCCTCTTCGGTGCTGCATTGCTCTGCTCTCTGCACTACGGTAGGTGGTTTTTGTTTTTTTTTTAATCGTTTACCCTCTTCATACTTGTATCTTCCTCTTCCTCTCTCTCCTTGGTGGCTGAATGGAAGCTCCAACTTGCCTGCCTTCCAGGAGAGACTTACTCTATTCAAGTTTGCAGCCACCTTCTCCCCCTATAAGAACCCATTCTGGAAGTGCCCTCCGCTGGATAACCTACAGCAGTAGGCGTGGGGTCAGATTTTTTAACAGCTGTGACCTGAGTTGAAGACAGACACAAGTGTGGATGGTCTTCTGAGTTTCTTGGTTTCCTCGGGAATATGCAAGAATACCATCTGCAGCATTTTCTGAGCATGAGATGGGGATGGTAGAGGTCACATCCTCTTGCTCCTCCTGTCAGTGATCCCCAGGAAGAGGAGGAATAGCCCCTGTCCCAAGCCAAGAGACTTGCTTGCTAGCCTGCAGACATGCCCTGAGTTAGGGCTTGTGGGGAAAAGGAGGGTGTGGGAGGGGTGCTGCCATCGGGTGGTAGGCAGCTGCTTTTGAGGGATTGCAGTGGACTGGGCAGTGGGAGTAGGCTGGCCATGTGCTTCCACCATGGACCGCCAGCACTCCCTGCAACGGTAGCCTCAGAGACTGGAAGGGAGAAAGGGGTCAGTTAGGACTGCCGCCATCCTTGGTGAGAGATTGTTTTCTAGAGTGGGTGGGGCCGCTCGGAATTGTTCCCTGCGCTCTGATTCTGGAGGCTGTGTATGCAGCACACACAGTCACATATAAGAAATATTAGTTAGGCGAATTTGAAAACTTCTTAACTTCATAGCTAATTGTTCCTTCATCCCAATTGCTGCCTCCGCCTTTCTTCACCAGAGCCCAGACACAGTCAGCACAGATGTTTGGCTTTGCCTCAGGGCCTGTCCTCTTGCCTGCTGGAGGCTGTCAGCTGCCTGGGGTCCAGGAGGAGAACTGGAGGCAGGAGAAAGTCATTCACAGTGAAGTTGGGTAGAAACAGTTGTGCTTTGGTATTCTACACTTGTGGGAAGTGACTGGCTTTGACTGAAAAACTTCTGGGTGTGTTGGGGGTATGACTTTTCCCACAGAGGGGAACACTCAGGCTGGGCGGGAAGAAGACTGGGTTCTGGTCTCGGTTCTGTGTTAGCTTCTTGTGTGACCTTGGCCAAATCGTGTTACCCCTTAAGGACTGGGTGTCCTTTCCAGTCTAATGGGGGAGGGGGGCTGTCATCACGGACCCCCTCCTGTCCTCGTCTCATTAGATATGGGACATCTTGTATCCTTGCCTTCTCTCTGGGGAGGGGGCTCCCTTCCCTGCCTTGGGCACTGGCTGCTGCTTCTCTTCCAAGGAGCCTGGTCTGAGATCATTTGAATTGGATTTTCCCAGATGCCTCCATGGTCTGGAGTGGCCCTCCAGCCACTGCTATTAGTGTGTTACCTGTCCCGTGGCAAGGGTTTTTGGAAACTGGGGCAGAAGTACTGGAATGTCAAGAATGATTTTGTGGCCACCTTTGGGCAAGTGCCTCTGGTCCTCTGACTCACTCATCAGCATTAGTGTGACCCAAGCACTCGTGTGTATTTCTCCGGTGCCTTTGGATTTACATGAACACTGCTCTTTCATTGTGCACAGCTTCCCTTTCTGTCCTTGTTCCTAGTCTCTTTGTGCCTTGCCCCACTCTGCATATCTTAACAACTTACTAGAAAGACCTTCCTGGGGATGCTCACTGTCTTGGCCAGTACCTCAGCAGCGCTCCTCCCCGCCCCCACCCTGCCACCTGGTGGCCGGAGTGGGTATAACTGCTGAGGCTGCTTTCCTCTCCAGGATGGTGGCAACTTGGTTTAGAGACCTCCTCACATGGCAGCACAATGGTCTGTGCCCTGCACTTAGTAGGCACTCATTATATGCTTGTGAGTGAATGAATGGAGTGGTAAATCCACACGTTATTGTGTTGCAGGGATCCCAAGTCCCACTTGGCAGGGACTTACCTGTGATAAAGGCTCTCCTAGCACGTTAGCTCTGGGGTGACAAGCAGTTCTTTCTGTCTTCCCTTAAAAGCTTGGCAGAGGTTAACGAGCTGGTCGATGGAGTGGCCTTCCTTCATGGCCTATAGTGAGAGGACTTGTTGTCTCTTCCTGATTAGAAGGTACCTTACCACAACTCTCTTACCAGGCAAGGAGTTGCTCTCTCCTTGTCTCCAACTTTTCTGATTACTGAATATTTTCAGCATTCTCATGATATGCTATAAGCTGGGAAAAATTGAGGCTCAAAGCTCTTTTATGCTAGTAGAGTATGAGATGATGAAATAAGACACAGACCTTAGGAAAGATGGAAGATGTAGCAAAAGAGAAATGGATGCCTGTGTGTGTGGAGAGTATATGTTGGGATCTGGAAGAGCAGGCACAGCAGGCTGTTAGCCAGGTTCTGGGCACAGGGGGCTACTGAGCTTTACCCAAAGACTTCCTGCGGTCAGATACTTGGGCCTGATATGGGAGAAGGAGCAGAGGAAGGAGCCAAATGAGAAGAGAAACTGCTTGGGCCACAGGCAGGTGGGGCAGGACCCCTGGGAGACCTCTGCTCTCTCCAGTGCTCACAGGGAGGGAAAGACCGGAGGTAGTGAGAGGGTGGGGCGAGGAGGTATGCAGGGCTGGTCGGAGCCGAGTCCTCCAGGACCCAGAGCAACTGTTAGGAATTATGTAGCCATCGCTTTTTCTGGTCTCATAGCTCAAATCCTAAAAGGAGGCTTTTTTTGAGGCCTTAAAGTTGAACCTGAGGCCTGTAATCAATGATAGAGATTTTTCTTAGATCCCGGCGCCTACCTGGTAGTTCTCTAGACCCACCGCTGCCGCCTCAAAGTCCACTGGGAGGGTTCCCAGTGCAGCTGTCTCACACTGCAACCCCTCACAGGCCTGAGGTTCCCTGGTTTCTTGCCACGGGGTTGAGTTTCTAGGGTGTTGGTATTGGTGAGGGCCTGGATGACATCACCAGGCAGGGTGGGAGGTGGAGCTATACTGGGTGCCTGCCTGCTGCGGGGTGGGGGTCCAGGTCGCTTCTGGCACTGCTGACTTCACCCAGACAGCGCTAGCCATGTTGGCTGGCACCCAGGATGGAATTTGAGGCCTGATATAGATGGTGGGGGTTGAGGAGGGGGCAGCCAGTGGTCATTTCTGACTGAGTGCCACCTCTTCTTTTCCCCAGCACACCTCACCCTGACCCTCAGGGCCAAGAGGATGCTGGTTTCTTGGTGGAAAGGAAACAGGAGGCCTGAACTGGGACAGAAGTTTTCCCACCCTGAAGGGCCTCTCCACTAGTAATCGAACCCACCCCAAGTTATTTCTCCCAGCAGTGGGAACCACTGGGGTATTTCCCTCAGTCAGAACATCTCCGAGTCCTCCGGGGTCATCTGGTGGAATACTCCAGCTAAAGAATCTAAGTGAATCTAAGGCCCCCAAAGAGGGCAAAGGAGGCTCAGAGCTCTTCACTCCAAGTAGGGGAGAGAGAGTATAACATGGGCTCTGAGTTCTGGGGGCCTGCGTCTCCTTCTCAGGACAGCCAATCTGATCCCAGCCCAAGTCCAGTTCTTATCTGATATGGAGGGGTGGCGATGGGGCTAGGATTGCTAGCATAATTGCCACTCAGGATAATGGTCACTTTTCATGCTTGCCAGCAGAGCTGTCCCATCACTTTAAGCCATGGCTGGCAGAGCAGTGACATTCTGGCCCCGATGGAAAGTCTATTCCTTGTAGATTGCTCCCTTAATAAAGGCCAATTAGCTAAGGAGGCAGTTTCAGTGTGCCTGCCGGAGCAGGGGAAAGGTTGGCACAGGGCTGCCATGGCAGGGTGCTGGGTGGGGGCCCTGATTAACCTCCCCTCAAGGGGTCAGAGTTTTGTGGCTCTACCCCTCTCAGAATGTTTCCTTGCCTTCTGGGGGCAGGCAGCTGGGTTAAGGCTCTCCAGCCGCATTTGAGGCATACGTTTGGTACTGGCTTGGCTGCACTGAATGCCTCTGTGGGCTCCCTGGCTCCCTGCTGGTCTGTGGTGCCCAGGACAGGGGTCTGTGCACAGTTGGTGCTCGATGGCCTGGGCTGTCATAAGGACTCTGTGGAATGCCTTCTACTTGGGAATGGAAGTGGGAGTGGGCTGAGGGTCTAAACAGGACAGGTTCAGCCCTGGCCTCTCTAAACAGGAGATCCCGGCTAAGCTGGACAGCAGGAGGCATTCAGAGGCTTCCCAGGAGCCATCAAGCTGTCCTCCCAAAGGGCTGTTACAAGTCCATCTTTGGGGTGGGTCAGGCATGGCTCTGCTGTGGGGGGAAAGGGGCAGGTGAAGGGCCTGGCTGATGCTCTGAGACCCTGGAACCTGGCCATGAGGGAATGCCGGCTCTGTGTTCACTTCCTTTCCAAAGCATTAAAAATTAAACTTCCTTGTCTTAATATCTATTTTTAAATCATGTCAGAGCCAGCATTGGTGACAATCAAGAGGGGGTGGGGAGGAAGAGGGTAGAGCAGAGAACGTCTCGGCTGAATCAGAGAGAGCGTTGTCACTACCTTAAGGAAAGGGCACAGGTCCGCCCTGTCCCACCATCTCACCATCCCACTGGACAGTAAAAGCACAGAAACCTCACAGATCTCCTCTGAGGGTGGGGTGCTCACCCTCCCCCTGTCGTGCCTCCATGTGCCTGGCTGCCCTTGGCTGAACTTGGCGGCGGGCTCTGGGGCTTACTGGGCTGTTGGGGTCCCAGTTGAGTCCGTTCACTCATGCCACAACTATTTACTGAATGCTTGCTGCGTGCAAGGAGGCTCCAGTTGGTGAGGACGGGCTGACTGGGCTTGCACAGGGCAGATCAGCTTTCTCGGGCCAGGAAGTCGTGGAATCGAGAGGTCATCTGGCTTGTCCTCCACAAGCAT